CTTCCTTGATGTACCCACAGTACATTGCCAGATTACTCTCTAAAGATGTAGCTCTTACACCTAAGGAGATCCGTGAGGCCGCCTAAAATCGAGCCATTTGGAAAAACATTGCGACCGGCTGCTGTGCAGCCGACTAGTAGTAGGAGTAGTAGTAATATTTAATAATGTTGAAATATTTATTTATAGGGGGGGGCGACAGCCCCCCCCCCAGTCGCCCCCCACTGAGTTTTTTAGTTTCTAAAAAAAATTATCATTGATCTACATGACGCCCCCCAATGAAATGTTCCAGCCCCCCCAGCGCCCCCCCCACTGAAAAATTCCTAGCTACGCCACTGTGCGTAGCGCCCTCTGAAGTCAAAAAGTGTGGGCTGCACCATGTTGGAATTGTACGAATAAAGTTACGAATAAATGCAAACAAAATGCAGACGAAAATACATGGTTCTCAATTAAGAAGAAACGTACTGTATTTTAAACCAATCAAAAATTTTTTATAATCTTAAGCAATTTGCTCTAATAAATCAGCTGGAAAGGGGCCAGGAATCACCTTAGATTGAGCATTGAGCATCTAGAAATACCCAATTTTCCCGGGGCCCTTAACTTAAACGGGCCCCGGACCCCGAGCCGTATTCGCGTTCCGCGCTTGCAATAGTCGTCTGGGCAGATGCCCCAACGCATCTTTGCAATAGTTCACAAACTAAGTCAATACCATTCCTTTTCAAAAATAAAATGCAAGAAAATATGCAGACGAAAATACATGGTTATCAACTGAAGTACAGAAGAAACTTAACATTAGTTAAAGCAAGAGTATATTTTAAACCAGTGAAAAAAATCCTCATAATTTTGAAACATTTTGCTCAAAATAACGCAGAACTAGGGGAAAGGGGCCACGAATCCCCTCTAGAATCCAACATTTCCCGAGGCCCTTAAGCGGGCCCCGGATCCCACACCGTAAGACATTCGCACTCCGCACTCACATTAGTCCTCGGAGCAAAATTGCCCCAACACATCATTGGAACAGTTTACAAACTAAGTCAATATAATCCTTTTCAAAAACAAAATTCAAGAAAAAATGCAGACGCAAATACATGGTTTTCAACTTTGAAGTAGCGCAGTAACTTAAAATTTGCAAAAGCAAGAGTATAATTTTCACAAAATCCTTATAATCTTAAACATACTCATACAGTTTCCGTATTTTTTTGAGAGGGGAGAATGTTGCATTCACAGTCTATTTGCACAGTACCCTGTGCAGTCGAAAAGTGTGGGCTGTGCCATGTTGGAATTGTACAAATAAAGTGTTACCTCGAATCTGAATTGCTCTCTCTCAGTACTGGATTTATAACCCATTTATACACCTTAAACATAACATGACCAAAGTATAGCCATGGCTGAAAGCGATCCCAGTTGCTGCCAGTTGTCAACTGTTGAACTGAAACAGAAATTAGAGGAAGAATACTTGAGACTTGAGAGCAGGGAAATTGAAGGTCTGTCAAGAAATCTCAGCAGCTACTTTGTCCGAAGCTGCTTAGTGAGTGCAAGGCATGGAGGAATTGCTTCTGTGGCCAGGGGAGCCCAACAACCTTTTTCTCCGAGAGAAACAGCAGCGAAAGTCCGGACCAAGCCGGCAACCAGAGAAAGTCCGGACCAAGCCGGCAACCAGAGAAAACAGCCATTCGGACGTGAAATAACACCGGCATTTATTAAACATCCTACTGCAACCGGAAAGGCAGTGCCACTTGGAGACCAACCGGCCGCTCCAATGGGTGCAGTACCGGGTGGATAAAACCAGCTGCTCCGGTGGTTGCGGTACCGGTGAGAGAACAACCGGGCGCACCGGTGGTTGCAGTACCGGTTGGAGAACAACCGGCCACACTGTTGGTTGCAGTACTGGTTAGAGCACAACGGGCCACTCCAGCAGTTGCAGTACCGGTTGGAGAACAACTGGCCATCCCAGTGATTGTACCGCAAATGGGAAATGAACCAGCCTCGCCAAGAATTACATTACCGCCTGGAGATTCTAATGATGTGTCAAGCAGGCATGTTGTTGCTACGGCTGTACATGCTCCTAGACAGGCTGTTGTCGGCACCCCAGTTCAACCACCAGAAACTACCGGAAATTAAATGGCTCATATGAGTTAGGGGAAACATTCACCTTATCCCCTGTTGCACCAAGGTTGGCGCACAGCATTCAACACCAGAATATATCTACAACCGTAGCGTGCGAGCCAGAAACGGCACTGACAGCAGAAAACTCAAAGGAGTCCACGGGTGCTGATGGTCACCAAACTGACCAACTGAGGACACGAAGGAGAGACCTGTGATTAAACCGGACAGATATGATGGAATAAACCAGTAGACTTCGTACATCATGCACTTTTAGATGTGTGCCAGAATTAATGGCTGGGACAACAGCGGGAAATTGCAGTGCCTAGCAGTTCTGCTGACGGACACAGCACAACAAGTTCTGGGAAGCCTGCCAAAAGAAGCATCTACAGAGAAGAAGAAGAACTACAATAAATTAGTCCAGGCGTTGGAGGTACGGTTTGATCCAGTCAGTAGCAGTGTCACACACACAGCCCTGTTTGACCTCAGTTTCTCGTCCTGAGGTCAAGCATGCATGGCCCAAAAGCGTACGTGAGATTTTACGAGATTTATTCGAGACTACAGAAAAACACAAAAAAGTGCTTAGATACATGCACTGTTTGGCCAAGATGGCTATAAAATAAGTGAATAGTTGAAATCGTGTGCTTTATTTTGATAACAAAAATAACTGCTTTTGACAAATATAAAGTGTTGTTATGGCCTGTCAAACAAAATCATATTTTTTATCAACAAAATCAAGGGCCTATAGTTTTTAGGTGTACATTCGATTCTTAAAAAAGGCCGAAACAAATGGCAAGGCTTAGTAGATAGAGGAAAGTATACACTTCATTTTCATGTAAAAAACGTGTAGGAGACTTCTAATGTTTGGTCCAAATCGCCGGTTGAAAAATGAAGACATTTGCAAGATTTCATGATTTGCAATCACATGTATGCGTGTAAACGAATGTCAGTACGCCAACTAACAAAATGTATGTTGGCCTGAAAACATTGTGAATAGCACGTGCGACGCGCAATGAATGACTTATGAGTATTAAGCATGCCCATACTCGAGCTCGACCAATCAGTAGGCTTATGGGTCACAAGGTCACACCATGTTTGGGTTCCTCGCTCTATGCTTTACAATAGCGACAATCTTTTCACGTTGTGAAAAATGGAAGTTGTTGGGAACATTAGGTGTACATCGAATTCTTAAAATATTAACGAGATCACGTTCACAAGATTTTTTGTAGATGAAGGTTCACTCTTTCATTTGATTACCTGAACATTTGGGAGACTTTTGTAATCCTCGAAAAAACCCGGAAATTTCATGACCGAATTTTTAGTCGATTTGTCCGTGAAATAATATCGTCAAAATGCATTGAAATTCTTTCTTTCTTTTTTTGAGAAAAAAACCTTGATAGATTGAAGTAGGTCTTTAACTACCGTACCTAAAACAACTTTGTTTGTTTGGATCGGTTACGGTTTGCCATGAAAATTGCGAATTTTCTGAAGCCCTTTTTACGGCCATCGTTCGCTGGCCTCGCGTTGCTATCAGTTGTGTGGATGAGAAAATAGAGGAGCTACGCGTGACACGGCAACTGACTGATCCAACCGGAAGGAAGGAGCTGCATAGAGTGCAGTTAAGAAACCAGCACAAAAGTCATTGGAAAGCCTGGTGGAAATGGCCGAAGATATAAGGAGGCTAGTTGACAAGGTGTACGTTGATCTACCAACCGATAGCCGGGATCGCTTGGGAAAAGACCATTTCATAGAAATGACAGTGAATTAAGAACAAGGGTTATTCAAATGCAAACATCAACATTGGACGAAGCCGTGGCCGCTTCAGTTGAACTAGAGGCATTGCTAGGGGTGGAAAAGGAAAGCAGGCTGGCTAATCTGAAACAGGTACGCAACGTTCAAGTCACGCATACAATTGAGGACTTGGCAACAGAGACAAAACAAGGAAGACCCGAAATACAAAATCGGCTTAAGAAAATAGCTGAACAGTTGGAGGTAATGAAGAAACAGATCCAGACATGTGGGACTGGCTCGATGGGTTCCAATCAGAAAAATACATACGGACCCAAGTGTTATGAATGTCAGAAGTATGGCCACATAAAACGACAGTGCCCAAAACTAAAGAACACCGATGCGTCACGGACTGGAGAGATCACATTTGAAACTTTTTATAACTGTTGTTTTGTTATGAGAAAAGTTATCATGTTCATATAAATGTTCAGAAGTTTTGCTTAAGATTTTTGTAACCGTTTGAATTTCTGGTTAAGAAAAGAAACTTGTTAAGTTCAAAATTTTGAAAAGAAAAGCAGATGCGAGGACACATCCCTGTTAAAGCAGGGATAATGTAATGGAATTGAGCGTCGCACTGGAGCTAGCGCAGCGCCCGCAATGTTTGTGGTTATGTTACATTTTGGCGGGAAGCCGAGGAATGCTTTTGGGGCAGACACGTTTTGTGGGAAAGCTGTGAAAACTACGTTGGTACTGCAAATAACAGGGTGTAACCGGGATCTAGTTCATAATCCTTAAAGAACCCAACTATCTTGTTGACCCCAGACCGCTCGGTGAACATTACAATACTGTAGATTAGGCCCACATCTTTTCCACATGCTAGTGTAAGGTGAGGCTGGTTAAGCATTGCAGTAAGGTAACTTTGTTCAGGGATAAAGTCAATCTTCTCCTTGTCACTTGTGAACTTTGCTGAATGAAATTGTAACATTTCATTTGACCTGGACCCAATCATACTACCAGTACTATACACAGTACGTGTACATCACTGGAGGACAGTTACCTTGCCATACCAAACTAAACAAAAAGACAATGTTGGTTCTTTGCATTTGCACATATTTTGTTGTAAAGAACAAGAGGTTTGATCAAATATTAAGCAGATTAAAAACTTGTTTTACCTTCCTGTGGTGTGTTCTATTTGAAAGCTTGGTTGTGTACTGTCTCTTGATTCAGACAATTGGCTCAAATCTGGAAAAAAAAGAGTTTAAATTAAAACCGTTGACAATGAAACAAGTATCACTTGTACTCAATTTGTGTTCCAAAAACAGGCACACAGGAGTATTTCCTCACTTTCAAGTTCTTTTAAGAACTCTGTTCTGTGTCACACATTGAAGGTTCCCTAATAGTAGTTTGAAGCAGACAACATTTGAAGTGGACACAATTCACAGAGTCTGTAACTTCCCCAACAATGTATGGTACATCTGTAACATACGGTGCAAACTCCTTGATAGGATATACCACACAGGGATACCATATCAGCGAGTATAACAACAAACAAATTGAAACTTGGACTAACTTACTGAGAGCCTGCCTCTTCAACTTATCAACATTGATACAAAAAAATGGTTGAAAACAGATTGTGCAGCTGCTGTACCGGTACTGTTTCATGACATTTGCTACATCTCAAGGAAACTCTGCTTGGAGAACATGAGTGGCCAAATGTAGGGAAGGTGCACCCACAATGCCTGCCACCTGAAGGAGAGACATGGGTGGCTCATAAACAAAGTTTCCAAAATGGGAACTTATTTGTCTTGAATATTCCATGTTTTGGTTAGTTAGTGCTCTGCTTTCAGCCTGGAGGATCCCCTTCCTCGGGTGAGCCTTTAACTGAGAAAGTATAGGGTAGGAGAGGAGGTACAGGGTTGGAGGGGAACAAGATTAAGATGGAGCTTGCATGTATTGCATACTATCTTGGGCAGCCTATAAATTGAAAATGATGCTTCTACTAATACTTTTCACGTCGTATTTACAAAAAGATCTTCCCTGCAAGTGTTTAATGAGCAATACCATCAGAATGTGGACATGGCTGAAAAATAACAAAATTTACTAATCTTCAAATTTACAAGCACCATGACCCCATGTGTGGTATCAAATAGACCTTTCTCAGGGTATGCCATCTTGGAAATCAAAACGAGGCATTTAATACCAACAAACATGGCGGCATAAATAGTGTGTGCGATGAACGAGCAACTCTCACAAATTTACAGCAGATTAACACTTCTTATGAACAGGTGGATAGCTTGAATTCCCCGAAACATCAATCCACATTCCAGGTAGGTCATGTCTCATTGACCAAATGATTTCCATAAAATAGTGGCCGCATGAGGTCGCTGTTTGCGCTGTATTTTAATGCATGTATACTGTTATAACAATGCCTTGCACACTGCGTATTGTGTCATGAACTGCACATTCTGCATGTACATGCATCTATGAATAAATCATGTGCAACATGGCGGCCCGCATGGCGAACCCCAAGTGATGAGTCTGTACAATTCTTTATCAATTCTCATCAACCTAAACCCAGTATTATAAAATGGTGGCAGCAGTGGTCGACTCAGAATAGAATAGCCATTAATTTGCATTCCACTTTTTACATCAAAAAGTGACATTAACAATACAACTAATGTCCGAAGACATGAGTTTCACACACAGGAATCCACCAACATGACAGACACCGCGATCGATGGCCCAGTCCCGATCGTTGAGGGCGGTTTCCGCCACTCTGCTCGTCAGCCGTCTGGACACATGTGACCATATTGAAGACATTCGCAACTATACCGAGCATCTAGACCTCCCATCATCCTGACATCATCATCAAGCATCATGACATCCCTGCGGCGAAACAACCGGCAGTTTTGATATTGGTTCCACTGTCTACAAGACTGTAAAAATCCTAGCTAAACCAACTCCAGTGTCACAGAAGAGCTACAAAGAACTATGTGATATGCTGGTGTCTCACTATGGCCCGAAGCGTCTAGTTGTAGCAGAGCAGTTCAAATTTTACAAACGCGATCAACACACCGATGACTCCGTCGCTATGCAGTTGCACTACAAAACTTGGCCATGTCACATGTCCATCATGTTCTCAAAATACTCCAAGGAGCTGGGTTGAGGGTAAACAAGGACACTTGCAAAATTGCACAAGTACAGGTGAATTTCCTCGGCCATCGATCTTGGTAAGGAAGGAATTCATCCTGACCCTGCCAAAGTAGACACGATCCTGCAAATGTTGCCACCTACAACGAAGGAGGAATGTAAACGTCTGATAGGTATGGTCAACTGGCTTTCTCGCTTCATACCCCATTCAGACTCTGTAGCCGCATCGCTAAATGACCTGATGAAAGATGACACAGAGTGGACTTGGGGCCCAGCACAAAGCACTGCGTGGCAACAACTCAAGACTCTACTTACAACAGCCCAAAACGCTTGCATACTACGACCCACAATGGTCAGTGCCCGACGCCAGCATACAGTTACGACATTGGTGGTCACATCCTTAGGAAAACGAGTCCTGCATGGAGGCCAGTAGCATATTGCTCTCGAAGCCTGACACATGCAAAACAATGTTAGGCATGGATCAAAAAGGAGCTACTGGCTGCTGTCTGGTCATGCGAGCATTTCTACAACTATCTCCAGGGTCTACGAGTGATGCTCAACACATCAACCAGAAGGACTTGTGTGATGCCCCCTGCGTTACCAACTACTGATGAGACTGATGAAGTACAACTGCGATGCAGAGTACACCCTTGGCAGTGTTGTAATCGAGTCACCAACGTCGAGTCTGAGCTCGAGTCTTGAGTCACAAGCCTCGAGTCCGAGTCTTGAGTCACAAGCCTCGAGTCCGAGTCTCGAGTCACAAGCCTCGCGTCTGAGTCACGGGTTACTTGTTCTTTATAGTTGTTCACCAAACTAATCAATTTTAAAAATTATTTTTCAATCATCCATTCTGCCTTTAAAGTAAATCCCAGTGTATACAGTTTATCTTGTGCGTGTACATGCTGTTTAGACCCAAAATGTCAACCAGAAGGACTTGTGTGGTAGCGGGGTAGTATTTATTAAAGATTCTACCTCAGGGTGTGGTCGTCCCTGCCCCTTTAACGTGAGCCTCAAGTCCAACTGGCCCGGTTGGTAGCACCTGACATGGGTCCCTTCCCAGGGTTACGGGCAAAGATGGTGCAGCAACCAGGCGCGGTTCTAGAGCCAATATTTTTGGGGGGCTAGCACGGTGAATCCAGAATTTTTTTTCAGGGAAGCGTGCTGAAATGTTGACCGGTTATTTTTTCCAGACACTTAGGCCTCCGAAAATCAATAGGTGGTGGTGGTGGGGGGGGGGGGGGGGCTCATGCCATATTTTCAATGGGGAGCACCAATAAAATCCTAAAATCATTCACACTATAGCAAGGGCGGATCCAGAACACAATTTTTTTGTGGGGGGCCCAAAAAAAATTTGGTCCCCCCAAAAAGTGGGTCCAAAAAATTACGGCGTGGGGTTCGGGGCCCGCTGAAGGGCCCCGAACAATTTTTGGATTCTAGATGCTCTGTGGTGCGATCTGAGGCAATTTCTGACCACTTTAACCAATTGTTTTTTGAGGAAAAGATGGTGGTGTACTCATTGCCTGCCTTAATTGCGATGTCACATAAAAAAAAAGATAATTGGTTTCGTTTTTTTGGGGGGGGGGCCATGGCCCCCTTTGCCCCCCCCCCCCTCCTGGATCCGCCCTTGCACTATATTAACTAATGCACCCTTGTCACGGCTATTTCTTCTTTAGGGGGAGACCGTTCACATGTACATCACATGCAATCCTTCTTTTTGCTAAGGCAATTTTTTTTTTAAGGAATTTATTTTGGGGGGGCTAGACACAATTTTGGGGGGCTACAGCCCTCCCTAGCCCCCCCCCCCCCCCCCCCCCCCCCCCCCCCCCCCCCCCCCCCGTAGAACCGCGCCTGGCAGCAACGTCTTTGAAGTCATCACGGCAGTGGTTATTGTTTCTACTGTCATGGTGACTGGCTGGCAGCTCGGATGATTCAACTGTTATGAACAACGTCTGGCAGCATTTGGTCAAGTTAGCTGACTATTGCTGGCGGAGCTGGGTATTTTGGGATCCACTCCACTTTCATTGCCCCAAGTCTAGTGGTGAACAGCACTAGACTTTAGACTGGTATTGGATGATCTTCATGGTAGACAACAATGGCAGTCCCGGCTCTAAGTTGAGCTACTGTTCATCTCTCCTTGGGGAAGAAATGGTATTTATCATCTCGTCTGGCCTCTTAAATGAGCACCTCAGTCGGCATCGTCAGTATTGTTATTGGGACTCGTACGTTCTCTATCAGTGTTAGGAGCCGATTCTGCCAGAACCTTGGTCTTGGGGTTGGCTGCCCCCTGACCCAGTATTTACCATGCTACGAATGTAATAAATGAGACAACCAAAAACAATCCAGTTTCTCCGTGTGTGACCTCTCATGGAAGAGTAAATGACGCCGCTTCATTAAACCCAAATGGGAGTGAAGAGGTTGATCCATCCATGAGGAGAAACTACAAATCAACTAAAGTTGGTTTAATTAATGCGAACATCAGAGGCATAAGGAGTAACCTGGAAGAACTACGGCAGAAAGTAGCTAAACTGAAGCCTTGCATCACCACACTCCAAGAAACCTTCCTGTCAAGTACTTGTCCTGATGGCGAGTGTAGTATAACAGGCTACACACTTCATAGAAAAGACAGGTCTACCTTTGGAGGTGGTGTCGCCGCATACATCAAGGATAATCTCCCCTGTCGTCGTAGATCTGATCTTGAGTGCAAGTGCCATGAGATACTATGGCTTGAGTACCACGCACGGCATCAGCATATCTTTGTCTCTTCTGTGTACCGCCCCCCATCAGCTGATGATACCTTATATGAGTGTATCTACAATTCAATTACAAAAGTCCAAGAAAGTGAGGTGCAATCTTCCTTCATCATTACAGGGGATTTCAATGCGCACCACAAAGAATTCCTTCAAAGTTCATTACCTACTGATAGACATGGAGAGCAGCTTCTGGAGTTCTGTGTTACCAGCGGTCTAAGCCAAGTTGTACAAGGAGCCACCCATGATAGTGGGAATGTCCTTGATCTAATACTGACTGACTTACCTGAGAATATCATCACCAGGATTGATTGCCCTATTGGCAATTCTGACCACTCCTCTTTG